CATGGCAAATTCAAACATTACATTGTTTAATTTAGAAGGAAAGCACCGAGTAAAAATAAGAAGATCTATAAACTCACTTGTTTCAAACGTAAGAGCATAGTCTTTTGCCTTTCGGGCATTAAGATTACTGTTGGAAGAACATAAATAACATAACGAGACAGCATTGAACGTTTCAAGAAATAAACAAATCACATAAACAATATACCTATGGTTATGAAGGTAGTCAACGATTTGGCTTCAAGGTCAATGTATCTCGTATCTCAACGAAAGCATCTTTTTTTGCCGAGAAGACAATGATACTCAGTTACCTAAAAAATAGGCTAACAATATCAGTTTAATATTTTTACCAAGCTGAGACATTCGTTGTTGACTTGCTAATATTTTTATCTTTGATTGACAAAAGATATTAGAGATTCAACGATCTTAAAACTGAGAAATCGGAAACTACAGTATTCAATGTCACGTTTTCGCAAAGCAAATTCTCTAAATGGATAAAAATGGAAGAAAAATAAAAACAAATGAACCCCATAAAAAGTTGTCACAAGCTAGGTTATATTAAGAAACAGAAAAAGGAAAAAAATAATCCTACCTATGGCTCAAGCAAACTCAATTTGTGGATGCTTGGCTAAGTTTGTTATATAATCATTTTTTCATCAACTTGAATTAAGACATTAGTTTGATAATATATTTTTAACATACAATTAAAACATGCTTCACAAAATCTACGTTTATGTATCTTTTCTTGGTTAAACATGTGTTACATGTCCCTTGTTTGAACTCAGCCATATTTTTGTGAGCATTTGTAAACTTGATAATAAGCGTAGCCTCCAACTTAGAAACATAGTATCACAGCTAAGAAAGCCACAAACATATGAAGAGTTAGACATCTTACCTTAGTCCTCATGAGGTTGAATTTTTTTCGTTGATATTACATATTGCATTTCCTTGTTATTTCAGAGGAAACCACCACATATAATTTGCTTTTCAAAAATGAGGTTTAGTATTAGCTAGATACTGTTACTAAATTCAGCCACAAGAGCGAGAGTTATTGTTCAACAAAAGATGGGAAATTATGTTTTCCACAGAAGAAACTAAAATTGCTCTTTCCTCCTAATTGACTATATAAAAAATTCATAGAATACATGAGAGACAACAATAGTACGTACTTGTGACTGACAGGAGAAGCCCTAGAAGATGAATTGTCTCTAGGATTGAACGCGCCTCCTTAGAGCATGATCAACGCAGACGCTTAGAGCAAATGCTTAAGAATATTTGGTATTTAATTAAATAAAAATTAGTTGATTTAAGAAGCAGCGACGCTTAAGTTAGCGTTTTAAGCTCCGCATCTTGAGT